TGGAAAAAAAAAGAAGAAACTCTAACTGACGATATAATAATTGAATTGCGACAGGATAATAAGAACGCAAGAAAACGGATAAAGAAATAATAATAATAATAAAAAAGGATAGACAATGAAATTTGTGGCTAAACTTTCGGTTTGGATTCTTCTACTTATTATGCAGGAAGAAAAAATATAAGGTTATCCAAGACCGAATGTTTATTTACATACACAAATACTATATACATACATACACACACATTTACACACGTATATATGTATAAATATACATATCTATAATTGTACTTAGTAACTACATAATACATATATACTCGAATAATTTTGTAGTTAAAAAGTTTTAGAACGACGAGTTTTGTAATAATGCCGTTGAACGTTTGTGAATAGGATTTGGACGGAGATTGGATAATATGAAAGGCTTTGCGACATGGCCATAGCGTAGAATAACAGATTTGGAATTTGACTGAGAGATTTTTTAAATAAATAATTTTATATATTATACGGTTAGGGATTGCGTATTAGTGACTTTGATTACATGCCGTTGAACCAAAATAATTTACATATTAACTGTATTTCACTAAGTATAACGTATTAAAATAAATATTATCAACTCCCAAAAGTTTTCGAAAGGTCAAAAAGTTTTAGAAAAAACAATTTTATTTTATATTGTATAATAAACTCGTATATATAATGTTATTATAAAGTCATATAATCGTATTTCAAACAAATATTAAGATTACGTAATCTAATCTAACCTTTCTAAGTTCGTAATATGATAAATTTACATTCAGTAGTAAAAATTTTAGATTTATTAGTTTTAATATTAGAGTGAAGCCGAATTTTCACTAAACGTCTACACCGTATTTAATATGTAGGAAATATAAGTACAGTTAAAAGTTACCTACCAAGTTAGTCTAATATTGGAGACTTGGCTTAAATGCAACTAATATTAAATTTAAAGGTAACACATTTTTCTGTGGTTAATTGGAAGCATCTTTTTGATATTTTAATTTTAAAGCGAGTTATGATCATTCTTAATTCATAGTAACTCAGTAGTAAATAAGTTTAATTCTAGATACTACAATATTAAAACTAACTAAGCTAAATAATTACTATGTTTGGCAAAAGAACATGTCGAATCAATACACTTTTTTGCGATGCCCTATCATTAAGATTAGTTCCATTATGGGTGTCGTGCACAAAAGAACTGATTTTCATCAGGCCAAGGCATTTTTTTTTTTTTTTCATTGGACAGAGTATAGATGAGATTTGCTGAAAACAACTTTCCATGGCACGCACTTGTAAGACGGATGATATCACAATATGCATGTTAGATGTAAACAAAACACAGTTATAAAACGTTGATTGTATGCTTTAAACTACGGTTACAATAACGACAATGAAAATAATAATAATACAATAAATAATAAATAGTAAGCCATTTATCTTGGAATCATATTCCTAAACAAATTAAATAGTATTAAATTAATTGTATCTTCTGCAGCATTAAATCTACTCTTAAATAATAATGATAATTATAGTAATTCGGTTTAACACATTCTATCAAAGGATTTTCAGTTCTCTATGCTTATACTAAACATGTCCCAGAGGCCTTTGAATTAAAATGAATAATTATAACATAAAATATACACAATATATATATATATTAGTAAATAAGCATAACATTAATAATATGTTTCTCTAGAAATAATAATATTAATTTATTTGGCGTTATAGCTTGTCTCCATAAATTGAACTAAGCTCTTGAGTTTCGTTTACCTATACGGTTATGTGCAAATAAATTCAGAAAGCGCTTTAATCACATTAAGCTGTTCATTTAGACATTTACGTGTGTACTTTACAGCTTGATTGACATTATTTAATGGAGTATAAAATTCATTATAAAAGTATAGTTCGATATTTTATAAAGAAACTGTTTCAGGTATACATAGATATATAATGGTGGTCAAACACTCTCACACACACAAGATAAAATAAATATGCTTATATTTACATAATGTATGTAGTAGTGTATCGATTAACTGCCCTCGAGAACTTCCAGTAAATAAAAAAGGTTATCAAAAAAGAGTTTTTTTTTTAATTTCAAACAATTATTAGTATCAGTGAATAAAGTACCTAGGTAAAAAATAAAAATAAAAACAGTATATAAATACATTAGAAATTTTCTCATCGAAACCGATTCCTTATTAAACGTAAATTATATGTAATTTTACTAAATTTTTCAGTGTTTCAAAGTCAAAAATATTTTCACCATGTTTTCATTTTTATACATTAGCTTATTCAGATTTCAATGGTACTTCATAATATGTCAACCATAGTGCTTTTAAGGCGTGAATTCTCTTTTGGAAGCCTAGTGATCATTCTTCTCGCTATTCATACTTCAGTCGTATAGGAGCAAGACTAATGACTTATTTTTTTTTATTTTTTCAAAGAACGTGGAACGCATTGAATTCAAATTTATGTGCTTATCGATTTCTATAACATCAAACGGAAATAAATAATTATACACAATTAAGTTAAATATAATAAATTAAGCAACTTTTTTATACGAGATAACAATAATATAAGTATATACTTTTTAATTGGCAATTTAGAGTTAAAATGTATTTTTCGTTTTATTGTTGTGTTAACCATACATTTAATAAATATATGTTATCCAAGTGCACAGTCGAAAATTATAATAATGTACTTGAATATCTGATTATAATTTTTTGTTATTTGTGTGCTTAAAAATAAAAATTAAATGTATTCACTTACAGAGTGATTTAACAATATGCTCAGTGCTCACTTTATTTTAATCTTTCAATAATGAAGTTATCTAAAATTTAATTTTTAGAATTTTTAAATATATTTAAAAACTATAAATACAAATTCTTGAGATTTTTTGTACTACTTAAGGACTAAGGAGAGTATCCTATAGAACTTCTTTTTTTTTCTGATGAAAATATTAATTTTATACAGTAAATTATTTAGCAGATAATTTTATGGACATTTTTTACGTGTCAAAATCAAAATTTAAGCGAGTAGCTTATAAGTTATTTAAAATTGATTTTTATAAATAATAAGTCCATGATAATAGGTTTGGAAGATATGAAGGCTATGGAAATTTGAATAGTTTAGTAATTTATTTTAATTTATCGATATCTATATAGTTCATAAAAATGGTCAAAGTATAATAAATATTAATTCTATATTACAATATATTTTATATTTTTGTATAACTATTTTTAATGATCTTTATTATTAATATAAATTATTTAATAATTAAAAAATACTAACTCAAATATTTTAAAATGAGTAGGTACATAAAAATTATTATAAAATATAAAGTCTTAATAATTTACAATAAAAAGGGGGTTCCATTTAAAAAACAGAAGTTTATATCTTTACAAAACTTCCTAAAATAGTATAAAAAATTTCAAGAGTTTGAAAATATGGTCTGAAGTATTGAAGTATATTTAAAAATTCTTAAAATTAAAATTTCAATTAATTCATTATTAAATGAATAATGGTGGTGGTTGGTGACTATGCTTGGTAAATTACCGTGTTTATAAATGATATATTACGTTGATATCGGACAAAATATAAAAAAGTAATAATAAAATCAATAGGTATACAAATATAAGTACAATTTCATGACCAGTTATTTCTTACCTTATCTACGACCACATGGTTTCGTACATTTAGAATATTTTTATTTTATTTGACTTACCAAATTGTCAGTATTTAATTTGTTTGAGGTAGAAGTAAACATAGTGTTATTACTTATTACATATAGAACATGATAAGCGCACATACAGCGAATTAAGAGAGCGTGTTATTGTCAAGCAACCACCTCCATATTATAACAGGCTAATAAAACACTGTAATTTCGATATATTAATGTGTACTTATATTGATGTATGAGTTGAATTATGCAGTAGTCGAGAAAACGTAAACGTACTATTTCTCATGATCGTATATCATAATGTTGTATGGTAATTTTATTTAAAACGACGACGATCATTAAATAGCGAATGTATACAAAATATATCTGTACTATACGTCATATTTGTATTTAAATGTAATTCCAGCTTAATATAATATTGTTAAATCCACCAGGTATTATATTTTTTATAGAACATAGGTATACGAGTATTGGAGTATGTATAGATATATTTTTATTTCCAAAAATTCTTGACTATATTTTAGGTATGGCGCGGCGTGATAATACGATAATATGCAAATTAAATTTTTTCCCTTTTTGAACGATTTACTCGTGCGTTTAGGTGTGCGCCAAAATCCGTAGTGGCATGGACGGACGGACGAGGTGGTGCATATATATTACGCGTTAGGTTAGTCGGTTTAGTGGTTATGGTATGGGCTGGTGATGAGGGTATGTGAGGAGAGATCATTATAAAATGCTCTGCGGTGAAAAATTCCTTTGTGTAGAAAACGTTTTTCTTTTTTTTTATCTTGTCCTTTTGCTCCCTTTCAGCGACAGTTTTTGCGTGTTTCGGTTCGCCGATTTCCGCGGGACGCCTTGTACCATCTTTGTAGAAACAATGTCACCAAACCGAGGGTGTGCGCGCGCTATCGAAATGTCCCGCCGGTGGCGTGGCGATTAATCTTGCTCTAATTGATTTAAAACGGTGGAATTAGTTGTGGAAGCGATATTATTATATAGAGACGAAATTAAAGTGTTTTTGTCCATGTCCATCTAACGCGGGAATGTTACGATAAAATAATATAGACAATATAAAAAAAACCATTCAAAATCATTTGATAAGCAAATAATATGACGTGTTATGGCAGATGAAGAAGAAGAGAAAGAGAAAACAAGATTGTAGAGAAATAATTGAGTATAATATGATAGTGATAGACGACAATAGTGATATAGTGTATAATATGTAGTGTACTAATGTCTTATACAAATCATCAAATTGAGAATAATTAAGTAAAATTATGTATTATATAGATATAAAAATAGTTATTCTTACCCCTGGTAGCGTCTTGATATTGTGTAAAGCATTTTGAGCATCAAGAGCAGCTTTTCTCGTGTAATAAGTTACAAAACAACAACCTGTAAACAAACAAAATGGTACAATTAATAATTTATTGTTAACAAATCGCACAAGTTTCATTGAAAAAACGAATTAAGAAAAGGACGTTAATTATATATATATATATATCAGTTTAATCACTAATCGGTGTATGATACTTACGTAGATAACTTAAAAACTATAAAATTTATTTTTCAATCTTATAAACTTAATGATATCATTTTGTTGTTATTTTCACTCGAACAGAGTGTTGACATTTAATTTAATTATATAAATATATAGATACTAAGAGTTATATTAAATGGCACAAAACATGTATATATTATCGAGTCAAATAACGCAAAGTTACATTTTTATGCAGATATCTGTAGACGAAATCCACATGATCAAAACTAGAAATGTCTTGAATTTATTTTAGGCAGTTAGTTAGGTATACTAAGAGAAATAACACAGTATTTTAAAATTTAGATTCAAGTTAAATTGTATAACGACTCGGTCGATTGGTTTAAACGAGCATATAATTTCTAGTAAATACAGCAATGTATAAATCTCAGTATATATAATAATATATTAAATTTGTTTACATTTGAAAAACGATTGTAAAAATTGCGTTTTTTAAGGACGAGCGATTTTGTGCGATTTCGTATGAGTTTCTTTGTGTATTTGTTATATATATATATATATATATATATTATAAATCTTTGAATCGTTTTCTAAACCGTCTCCCATTCCGTCAGGACAAACTTCTTTCAAATGTCCTTTTCTTCTATATTATATAGGTACTATAATAATGTATATACACATACACACATACAAACACACACATATTTATATATGCGCTGAATGCATTTACATCCCTATTTCGCTTCGTTTAGCCTCGTCGCGTACGGTACCCTCCCTTTAACTGCAAATCAGCGAACTGTGTCGTTTCCTTTACGTGGTCAGCTGACTTTTCTTATTATTATTATTACTTTTGTCAACAGAAAAATCCGTAAGGAATAAATTAGAATGAATTATCGTCAAAGTTATTTTGTCTCGTTATGTATTATTTTGGAAAAAAAAAATTGATTCATATACGTATATATGCGTCAACTCACTGTACATTGATCAGTTTTTTTTAACCATACCAAGGTATACTTCTTAACTAATGGGTTATGATCTACAAAATGTTATATATTTGGTATTCATTTTTCCCAGTATAATTTTTGAATAAACAATAAAAATAAAATAAAAATTCTATCTAAAATTGTCGAGTGAAGTTTGATGTTTTTTTACGATAAATAATAAATTACAAATATATCAAGTATAAATAAACAGAAAAACGTAAATAAAATGATGCAGATATACCAGCATTTTATGTGATGAGTTAACAAAAATGATTAAACGGAAATTTTATTAAAAATTTGGTTGCTGCTTTTGAATACGCGAGTATAATTCAGTACCTACACACCTTAAATTTGTCTCATGATTTTTGTTGGAATTTATTTTTAAGTTATTATATATATGATATTTACTTTATAATATAAAATATACCAGTAGTGTCTCTGGGGAAATATACAGTTAAACATTTATAATGCCACTATTTATATAAATAAAAATATATACTGTTAATAATTGTACACACAGATACATATTATTCTTCTGTCATCGCTTGTGATATTGTCACCCAGGAAAGGTTAGATTATACTTTTAAAACTTCATATTATTTCGAGTGATAATTTAGATTAACTATTTGTATAAACCAGGTAATACTTAAATAACAAATGTTGACGGGAAGTTTCGTTGATAAATATATTGTTGTTAATTTTTATATTGAGGTATGGTGTAGCGCAGTAGACGTACCAATTGATTGACGGTGCCGGTGTTAAACGAGCATCTCCATTGCTCATTCTTAAATGAGTGACCACTTAGGAATTTTAACAACACATACATCGTTAGTTATTCTAACACAAAAAAGGTTTTTTTTCATGAAATAAAATAAATTGGGGTATACTTATAAAGGTGTATGAAAATATCGTTCATTCGTTACAAAGTTGAAAATCAAATATTAAAATTTGAAAATTTACTAGATACACTAACTTTTAAAAGTTAGAAGATAAGATGAATTACCTATTTCTTTTATTAAAAGAACTTTTTGACAGAACATAGAAAATATTTTTCTTTAAATTGTGTTAGTCTATTTCATATTATCGAAAAGTTAATGTAACTGGAACGGTTCTAATTATTGAGAAGGTTTTTTCAACGTTCAAAATAAAGGTGTAAAACATCCTCTTAAGTGATAAAATGACAAGATACCACGCATTTTTCAGATGATATATTCGACTTATCATTGTTTTGTAAGCATAATGATGAGATAATTTACGACAGTAGAGTGATAACATTTTCATCCTAAATAATTTTATAATATAAATTAGCAATGCCTATAATGAAAAACGAGAATCGACTTGCTTTAACAGAAGAAATGTATTAAAATTAAATATTTCAAGTATAATATCATAGGTATATTTAATTATTTTATTTTTTCTTTGAAGTGTCAGATTTCTTACGGTTTATCAGCAGGTTTTTTTTTTAAAAACATTATTCCTCCGTCGCGCTCCAGTGAAAATTGATTCAAAAATTCTATGAAACCTCTAGGTCAAACAGTATATTATATACTGTGCACAACGTGTGTTTTTCAATGGCGGTGGTCTTTTTTGATACACAGACGGATTCAAAGGTGCTAAGATTGATGGGGTAACACGCGTGACAAAGTTAAATCGAATCTTCTGAATAATTCTGTTATTACCAAAGAAAAAAAGAAACCTTTTGAAAAATCGTATATATTTCACACACACATTCACACATATATTACACCTTTACTACATTATACGACTACGTTTACGTACCCTACATTCGTCTCAGACAAAACACGTGGTGGCTGCAGTTGCCCGGGCAACCGGTACGGTGATTTATGGAGTCAAGGTTCGACAGTATTTGCCGGGTATACATGGTTGTTTTACACGCAAGGTAATGGAAAGGTGGAAGTGGCGGGGAAAGAGTCACTATGGCCATAATAGGATAGCGACGGCGGTAAATCGACGAAAGGGTAAGGGTCGGCACAGAAAAAGGGATAAGGATAATCAAATTGTGTGTGTGTGTGTGTGTGTGTGGAGGGGGAGCAAAAAGAATTCAGTGTATTTTCATATATTATTATTATTATATATACGTGTTTCGCTAACGGTAAAATACCGTCGAAAGTCTTTGAATTAATCAACCTACGCACATTCCGATGGAATTACGTCCTGATGTACAGCTAAGGGATTAGAGTAGGGGTAGGGGTACACACGTCGTTACGCTTTTGATCCCGATAAAGCTCACGATAAATTAGACATTAGTAGGTTAACGAATATCATTTTTTTCTTATCATCTAATACCTTTAATGTACTCGTATATATACAATGTGCTGAAAGTATAATAAATGTAGAAAAAAATTTATATCGGATAATGCACAACAATAGTTTCAAGTTTGTCGTACTTAGTAACACAAACGTATGTGATCGATCGGTTTCCGTGGACGACAATCAATAAAATACAGCACAATATTAGTATAATATAATTTAGGTATTCGTATACTGCGCATGTATATTCACGTTTAATATATTATTCTGCGATGCAGAACCACGCGCTTAATTTTGTTTATCGTTTGACAAATCCGATTTCATTATTTTGTCCCGAAAAATCGTTCAACTGCAGATTTGAGTATATATATATATACAAATATACGCGTTTTGTAATGATTTAAAATTGTTATCAGTGATTTAAAACTCACAGAGAATAAATCTACGGATTACGTCGAGATTATTTTGTTGATGCTTTTTAAACGAAATGCATAGAGAATATTATTATTATTATTGTTGTATTAAATTGTTTTTCGAGTATTCGGGCCTCATTCAAATGGGGAACATAGAGATTATGTCTGATAATTCAAAAAAGGAATTTCAGTCTTCTTTTAATATCCTACTACATGGTACCATAGCTCTTTCGCCGATTCATCACCAATAACATCAGGAAAAAAGATTTACGCGACTGGGAAGAGAAATGGATTAAATCTTTGATAAAATTAAACGGTCGTTATTACAATATTCGTTTTCTATACCGCAAGAAATGAAATAAATGCCAACGTTTTTGTTATTATTATTTATCTCAGTACGGTTTGGTAGTTTCAGAGGACGAATAGCCTCGACAACTGATGTCAGTATAAATTTTATATACAGTAGCAGTCCAGTAATATTATATAATATAATACGCAGTCAAAAAATATGTATAATATCGCTGATAGTGCAACGAGGTAAACATCAGGGGACGGTGACCAGGGTCGAGGTAGTCTTACGATGTACACGCGGAAACAACGTGCTATTTTCTGTAACATGAATTATAATTATTATCCTTATTATATTATTGTTTCTTTCCCTATCTCCGAATATAGTTACCGTCTGCTGTGCATTCAAGCGGCTCGAATTCTGGCGAAACGTAATTGGATCTTACGTGACACGATTAAGAGACTTGCTGGAGACTGACAGACCATAAAAGCTATATTCTACATACCTATATAAGTATACAGACGACAAAGATTATTGCACGGAAACTAAGACCGTGTAACGAGACAAATGTTCGTCGAAGTTGGACAATGAAAGTTTTCGTCGAAATGAGCCCCCCAGCGCCGATAAACAACGCGTACCAACACCAAACCCTTCGTCATCCCCTAGTCGACCACCCCGCGCATGTATAAAATACATACATATATAAACCCTTTCTTTCCAACATCAATGGGCCGCTCTTCACTTCCTACCCCATGGCAGCTCTTTGATACATTCTACCGCGTCCTAACACTATAGAATCTGTCACATCACCATCTCCGTAGCCGTTGTCGCCACTTAAATATAATACAGCAAATACGATAACACGGTTTGCATTATATACTGTATAGGACGACGTTCGGTCGGCGAATCGTGATAATGTTATACACAATAATAATACAGCG